TCCAACGGCTGAATCACAAAAGAGTCCCATTTTAGCTTAAGGCTATGCTAGAAGGTTTTAATCGTTTGACCTCCACATGCCAGGTAATTGGTTCTAATTTAATATTTATTACAACTTATAGTTTATTTTTATGAACGAGAGAGTAATTACCATAATTTTAACTGGTACCTCCGACCCCTCCATGGGCGTGCTCAAGATTAATTGAAAAATTACTTTGAATAATTGTAAACAATAAATGAATTATTTCAGTGTTATAAAGTGTTATGTGTATGTAAACAAAAGTGACCTCTTTTATCACACACTATATTAGAACTGACTGGCCTACATTAAAAAGGGTTTTAAAAAATTCACATTTTTTTTAATTTTTAAAAATTACAAAAGAGAAAAAGAGTTTTAAAACCGTCTAAGGTATGTTAAATAGATGAATAAAAATATTAATATACAACTTACAGCTAGTTGTTACAAATCCAAATCAGATTCAGAAGATGAACTTTCAGAACCAAGATTTATAATAACTGGCTCGATCATTTTATCAGTAGTATTGTCCAGCTTCCACATTTTTTTCTCTTCTTTAATAGTGTGATTTACTGCCTTTTCCCAGTTTTCAGGTTTTACATTATTTACGGCCTCCAAAAACAACTGTTTAACATCATGAATTTTAAAAGTGGTATTTTTTCTTGAAACTTCACTCTTTATCTGTGCCCATACCAGTTCAATCGGGTTTAATTCACAATGATATGGTGGAGATCTAAGTACTGTCATTCCACGATTTTTGGCAATTTCATAAATTTCGTATTTTTAAAATTTTTCTTTATGAAGGGCACACAACGAATAAAGTTCCTTTCTTATAGATCCGGGATGGTACGTAACATTTTTTGAACTCAGCCAATTCTGCAAGTCTTTTTTTAACCACTTGGTTGTGGGCAGTCTTTCTATAAGTCTGGAGTGATAACTTGCATTATCCATTACTATTACACAGTTCTTAGGAAGAAGATCTATCATTTGTTCGAACCATTCTTGAAAGACATCAGCGTTCATGTCTTCATGGTAGTCACCGGTACGAGTTGATTCAAAAGTTAATAAACCACCTTCAACAAATCCGTCTGAACTGCCAATGTGTACTATTATCAGCCTGCGTCCCTTTCCTGATGGTGGGTTTAAACCAGTAGATAAGTTATTTACAAAAGCGTGCCTTTGACTTGTAACAGTTTCATCCTGCCAAAATTTATTTGGTGTATGACCCTCGTTGATCCATGTTTCATCAAGATAAAATATTTTTCTTTTTCGGTTTCTCATTTCCTTTATGTTCTTAGAAAATGTCTTCTCCATATGACAATATCGCTTCTTTCTAATAAAATAGACTTTCTGGGATTCTTTTTCCAGCGGAAGCCTATTTCTTTTAAAAGTTTCCATAACGTACTTCGACTCATTTCTGGGTAATCCTTATCATCTCGAACTGAGACAAGAACTTTATCCAATGTTGGAAATTCTTGTCTAAAGAAGAATTCATGCACTTTCCGTCGAAGTCCTTCTTTAAAATGATATTCTATTTGAAATTTTGGTTTCCCTGGAGCATTACGTGGCATTTGAAAACTACCACATTTCTCTTCTTTAATAACTCTGTAAATCGTAGATTTCCCAACACCAAGTGTACTGCTAACTAACTCAACGGTCTCATCAACACTTTCACATAAACGTTTGTCTGTAAATGATTTAAAACAATTAAATATTAATGTTTTTTCATTAACTGTTAAAGGACCAATTTTTCGGCGTTTACACGGCACTTCCAAATTTTCCATAATACTAGTATACACAATAAACTGCACCTTGCAACTGAAGTACCTACTTTTAGTGAACTGTTAAGAATTTTGAATACGCCACTTGGACCTTCCTACACAATGGAAAAACCCACTATCACATTTTCTGTGGAATAAGTTTAGAAGGTAATTATCTATAGTTTATTTTTATGAACGAGAGAGTAATTAGCATAATTTTAACTGGTACCTTCGACCACTCCATGGGCGTGCTCAAGGTTAATTGAAAAATTACTTTGAATAATTGTAAAAAATAAATGAATTATTTCAGTATTATAAAGTGTTATGTGTATGTAAACAAAAGTGACCTCTTTTATCACACACTATATTAGAACTGACTGGCCTACATTAAAAAGGGTTTTAAAAAATTCACATTTTTGTTAATTTTTAAAAATTACAAAAGAGAAAAAGAGTTTTTAAAACCGTCTAAGGTATGTTAAATAGATGAATAAAAATATTAATATAAAACTTACTGCTACTTGTTACAAATCCAAATCAGATTCAGAAGATGAACTTTCAGAACCAAGATTTATAATAACTGGCTCGATCATTTTATCAGTAATATTGTCCAGCTTTCACATTTTTTCCTCTTCTTTAATAGTGTGATTTACTGCCTTTTCTCAGTTTTCAGGTTTTACATTATTTACGGCCTCCAAAAACAACTGTTTAACATCATGAATTTTAAAAGTGGTATTTTTTCTTGAAACTTCAATCTTTATCTGTGCCCATACCAGTTCAATCGGGTTTAATCCACAATGATATGGTGGGGATCTTTATCTGTGCCCATACCAGTTCAATCGGGTTTAATTCACAATGATATGGTGGGGATCTAAGTACTGTCATTCCACGATTTTTGACAATTTCATCAATTTCGTATTTTTTAAATTTTTCTTTATGAAGGACACACAACAAGTAAAGTTCCTTTCTTATAGATCCGGGATGGTACGTAATATTTTTTGAACTCAGCCAATTCTGCAAGTCTTTTTTTAACCACTTGGTTGTGGGCAGTCCTTCTATAAGTCTGGAGTGATAACTTGCATTATCCATTACTATTACACAGTTCATAGGAAGAAGATCTATCATTTGTTCGAACCATTCTTGAAAGACATCAGCGTTCATGTCTTCATGGTAGTCACCGGTACGAGTTGATTCAAAAGTTAATAAACCACCTTCAACAAAACCGTCTGAACTGCCAATGTGTACTATTATCAGCCTGCGTCCCTTTCCTGATGGTGGGTTTAAACCAGTAGATAAGTTATTTACAAAAGCGTGCCTTTGACTTGTAACAGTTTCATCCTGCCAAAATTAATTTGGTGTATGACCCTCGTTGATCCATGTTTCATCAAGATAAAATATTTTTCTTTTTTGGTTTCTCATTTCCTTTATGGTTCTTAGAAAATGTCTTCTCCATATGACAATATCGCTTCTTTCTAATAAAATAGACTTTCTGGGATTCTTTTTCCAGCGGAAGCCTATTTCTTTTAAAGGTTTCCATAACGTACTTCGACTCATTTCTGGGTAATCCTTATCATCTCGAACTGAGACAAGAACTTTATCCAATGTTGGAAATTCTTGTCTAAAGAAGAATTCATGCACTTTCCGTCGAAGTCCTTCTTTAAAATGATATTCTATTTAAAATTTTGGTTTCCCTGGAGCATTACGTGGCATTTGAAAACTACCACATTTCTCTTCTTTAATAACTCTGTAAATCGTAGATTTCCCAACACCAAGTGTACTGCTAACTAACTCAACGGTCTCATCAACACTTTCACATAAACGTTTGTCTGTAAATGATTTAAAACAATTAAATATTAATGTTTTTTCATTAACTGTTAAAGGACCAATTTTTCGGCGTTTACACGGCACTTCAAAATTTGCCATAACACTAGTATACACAATAAACTGCACCTTGCAACTGAAGTACCTACTTTAGTGAACTGTTAAGAATTTTGAATACGCCGCTTGGACCTTCCTACAAAATGGAAAAACCCACTATCACATTTTCTGTGGAATAAGTTTAGAAGGTTATTATCTAGTCAATTACTGTCGTAGATTCCTGGAATTAAAGAATTAAATATTTGATTGTTGAAACCCTTACTTCGTGGAATGCACTCATTTCAGATAAAATAAAACGTTTTATTTTATCTAAAGAATTAAACTTTAATTGCAAATAGGTAGGTACTTATTAAACTTTTATTGGTTATATATAATCAATAAAATAAACATTTTACATTTCTTGCAAATTCATTAGTACCTGTTAACCTCCATCACTCCGACACTGGCAAACTTATTTAGGGATTAGTAACCCTCACAATTATTGTATTCTATTCTGCTTCAACCTTTATATCTGGTGGTCATACTCAATTTAAAATTGTTTTCCTATATACTTCTGTAAAGTTTTTGACAAATATCTGTTTTTCATTGAGTCACCCGTATCAACAGTTTAGGGATTTGCATACATAATTTATTGTTTTATTACTCTCTCATACATAAAAATACACTATAGTCAATTACTGTTGTAGATTCCTGGAATTAAATAATTAAATGTTTGATTGTTGAAACCCTTACTTCGTGGAATGCACTTATTTCAGATAAAATAAAACGTTTTATTTTATCTAAAGAATTAAACTTTATTTTGCAAATAGGTAGGTACTTATTAAACTTTTATTGGTTATATATAACCAATAAAATAAACATCTTACATTTCTTGCAAATTCATTAGTACCTGTTAACCTCCATCACTCCGACACTGGTAACCTTATTTAGGGATTAGTAACCCTCACAACTATTGTATTCTATTCTGCTCCAACCTCTATACCTGGTGGTCATACTCAATTTAAAATTGTTTTCCTACATACTTCTGTAAACTTGTTGACAAATATCTGTTTTTCATTGAGTCACCCGTATCAACAGTTTAGGGATTTGCATACATAATTTATTGTTTTATTACTCTCTTATACATAAAAATACACTATAATAACGTACAAAATAACTTTTTTTGTATTTTAACACGACATTGGTCATACGTGTTGTGATGTTTATACTGTTACTCTTAATCATAAAAAAACAATAAAACAATTTACAAGTAAAAGGCAATAAAGAAGAATACAATCTATCACTTTTTTGTTGAGGTTCACAATTATTAGTTTAATATAAAAATAAAAAAAAACAAAAACATGTACTTACTGGTCTGCAGTTTGGGGTGTTCCAAGAATTGTCACACGTTGTCCATGGTAGAAGATTCGTAAAAGAGGCGAAGAAGAATCGTAAAGCCCACGCTATTATAACATTGTAGTAAAAATCAACGTAAAATGCTATCAAGACGACTGCATAACCTATACCTGAAATAGAAAAATAAACGTTGATATGAAATATTTCAAATCCACACACATTAGTATAAAATTTGTTGGACGCTGCTTAAAAAAAATTAGGTTGTACATATTTTAATGACAAAATCAGCTGTTGCTGGTATCTCTTATAACGAGTCACGCATTATCCTTAAATAAATGCTCCAATTTATAGCGATCTGTCCGCAAAAATCTCCGTTAATCTCCCGCCGAGTTCTGAGTCAATTATCCACTTTTGCTAATCTGCGGAAACGGAGGACGGATACAGCTGGTAAAATGCATTGTGAGTGCTCTTTACACCACAAAAGACACTTCTGCCACAATTCCACCGTCGCAACTTCGGGATTTGGGATTTTCGACATCATTAACGCAGTGGAGATGACGAGCAATGGACTTGCGAGAGAAAACACGACGAGATAGGTGTATCAAGTTTTGGTTCTGATTTTGAAGCTATTTTCTTGAGACATTTTTTGAGAAATAGTTAACACTTCAATTAGAAATAGTATATCTGAGGAGCAGACTTTCATATCGCACTTTGTCCATTTATAACATTTTTCAGGAAATGAGAAAAATTGCTACCCAATTATTAATAAAGTTAAAAATAACACCACAAAATATAAATAATGGTACATTGTTTACCGGATAGGAAAAGCTTAACATTCTTGGACTGTGAAGATTGCTAAGTCGAGGCGCAAGCCGAGACTTAGCAACACAGAGTCCAGGAATGTGGCTTTTCCTACGAGGTAAACATACTATTTTCCGCAAATCGTTTAAAATTCGACAGATATTGATTGATTAAAAATAAACGCGATAATTTTATTCCCAAATAAATGGTGCTTTGAAATTCCTAATAAATTTACTTGGGTTACTATGGAAACGTATTGAGGTTGAATTGTCAAACTTGACGCTTATAAATTTAATTGCTGGTGTTCTCGAAAGTAAAATGATAAGTGATGATGAAATTTCCATTCCTGGGACTCCTCCAGAGCTGGTTGAGGCAGTGAATACTGCTTCATTAGAATTATTGCCAAAGAAATCAAGAGAAAAGTACGAAAATGCATACAGACGTTTTATGGATTATCGCATGAGTAAAAATACGAGTTCTTTTTCAGAAAATGTTGTAATGGCATACTTCTTAGACCTTTGTTTAAAGATGAAATCTTCAACATTATGGGCCAATTATTCAATGCTGAAGTCAACCCTTGCACTTAAACACAATGTAGATATATCTACATACTCAAAACTTCGTTCTTTATTGAAACGGCAAGCTCAAGGTTATAGGGCAAAGAAATCTAAGATTTTAACGAAGGAAGAAATTAAAAAAATTATCCAGGAAGCTGCAGATAAAGAAAATTTAATGATTAAGGTAATTTACAAGGTTTTAATTTCTATTTAGATTATAGCTTTATTTATTTTTTAGGTGGCTGTAATATTTGGTATTTCTGGGGCCTGTAGAATGGACGAGTTAGTCCGAATGACTGTACACGATATAGAAGACTTAGAATCTAAGCTTTTAATCAGCATACCTGATTCGAAAACCAACAGACCAAGATCATTTGTAATTAATCAGATCTACTTGAATGTTTATCGAAAGTACGTTTCGTTAAGACCAGAAAATATGAACAGTGACCGATTTTTCTTTAAATATCAAAGCGGAAAGGGTTGTAGACAAGTGGTAGGAATTCATCAATTTAGAAAAATGCCCAAAATAATTGCTACTTATTTGAACTTGGTAAATCCGACAGAATATACTGGTCACTGCTTTCGTCGGTCTTCTGCAACAATATTGGTTGACTCTGGTGCCGACATAACTAGTTTAAAGAGGCATGGCGGATGGAAGTCATCAAAAGTTGCTGAAGGATATATCGAAGAATCGCTTAACAATAAGGTTGAGGTGGCAAATAAAATTTTCACAGTACAAAATATTCAACAAAATGACACTTCCACCCTGCATGTTGTCCAAAATGTTTCTCATAGTTCTAAGAGTGTTCCTCCAATGTTCAATACTTGTACTAACTGTCAAATTACTGTAAATATAACAAATTGATCTTAAAAATGTATTCAGCAATGACTTGATGTTTTCAAAATATAAATTAATTCCTTATAAGCAATGTGTTTTCTATCGTTTATGTAGAACACTAACAACTGTACGGAAATATCATTTCCTTACAGTAAGGAAGTCCTGACATTTTCTTCAAGAAATTTTGACAGGAATGTCAAAATTTCCTGGCGATTTGCGGAAAATGTACTTTTTTATTATAAATTTATCATATTTTAAGTTTCATCAAGCTTTATTAGTTTAAAAAAAAAAACATACTGATGGACAAAACGCGATTTGGTTGTCTTTAAATAAATTTTAATTGGAGGTGCCTAAATGACTAAAATAAAAATATGAACTGAAAATGCATTTCTGCTTATTTGGAATGCAATATAGTAAAAAAATCATATGACATGTATGTCGTCCTCCAGAAGACAGCAATATTCTTCTCCATCTTTACATTGATCGCAGGTCTGGTCATTTTTTTTGTATTTTCACGATACTGCTCTTTCAAAATTGGATCTAACCAAGTTAACTCTGGATCTAATGCCCATTATTTGCCTGATAAACTAACTAAAAATTTTGATAAGCTATCCAGTTTTTTCTTCGCAACAGCATGCTTCATTGGCAATTCCGGCAGTACTATGTTAATTTCTGTGGTTGAATTAAACTTAAAAATAGGTAAAAGAAATAATAAATATGACATACTTACAATCGGTTAAATTTATTTATCTAGACGACCGGTTTCGCTTTCTACAATTTGCAAAGCGAGTTGTTCGGTAGAATTCAAATCGTATGGACGTGTTTAAATTATCGGTGTTAATTAATAGTATCGATAACAAGTTCTTTTCTTACTTATTTTGTTGTTTGCGATAAATAATCAATTTTGGTGAAACTATAGGTGTTTTTTTATAAATCTCTAGTGTTTGGGAAAAAGGGCATAAGTCAAATTTATACTATATTGACTTAAGTACACTGGCGAAATGGAATTTAATCAATTTAGTTGTGATCCAAAGGACATAAGTCTATTGTATTTCTAACCGCTTTAATCTCTATTGATCTAATAGACACAAGTCGTGTAAAACCGGTTCTGTTTGGACAAACGGACTTATGTTGACTAAAGTCTTTTTTACCGCGGCAACCTAACAACCGTATATTTTCACTTGCCAAGGACAGGCTGACTTAATTCCGTATGACCCGTTACAATAACAAACACGTATTGCTTTTCAGTGATAAAAATTTGTATTTACTTGTGTTTTTGCGAACGTAAAAATGTCAGAAAGGTGTAAAAGAATTATGGAGATGATTAAGAAGCAAAATAATTGTACGTTACCGTTTAATACTGTTTTATCTGTAAAAAGTTATGTGTAATATTAGGTATGTTTATTAAAATTAATAATTCTTTAAATAGTTTTCATTCTTTACATTATACATTTATATACAGAGTGTGTAGATTAATATTTTGAAGTTGTTAATCACGAAATTGAATATTATGTTATTTGTATTGACCACACATAAACGACTACTATTCTCCTATTAATAAAATAAAACCGAAATTTTACAAAAACGTAGGTATAACTCTAAAATGTGATATTATTTTTCAGATAATAGACATCAACAAGAATGGGAGTTTCGAGAACAAAAAAAAACATGTGGTATGCAAATATCCCATCCACGTGATTGGGCGACACTAATACGATGCGCAAATAAAAAGAAACCTTTCCAAGTGCTTGAAATATCACAAGATGATTTTTATGACTTTGCAGCCTTGTTGAAATGTGTCTTTGTATAAAGAAAACAAGATAGTGAAAAACGAAAATTTCTATGGCACGACTGCAAATGGCTCAGATACACAAAGGAACAGGGACTGATTAATTATAAAAAATCACTTCAAGAAACAGAAGACTTTTCCATTCTGAATAGTTGCACTCTCTTTATCAAAAAAATATACAGAGCCACTTGCAATCTCCAAGGCCAAGAAAGATGATCTCTGGGAATTACTACCCCTAATTCCAGATGTGTACAAAGGCTTTTATGAACAACTTGTACATTCAAATGCAACTGCTGTCGTTGACCCAGATTTAGAAGACCTAGATCCAGATGCTGAAAATGCGGACTTCGAAGAGGTACATACGTAATAAACATTTGCAATGATGTATTTTACTTGTATTGTTTTTTTCAGCGAATAAAACTTCATCCATTATTTTACGTTTTTGTATTTACCTGTATTTCTATATGTGACTCGTTTACTACCATACTTATTATTATTTAATCATAAGAACAGTCTTGTCAATATTGCTATACTTAATGGCGAGCATGTTAGTTCATATAGACTTAAGTCAGCAATCGCAATCAAAGTCAGATCCAGAGGACTTAAGTCAATCAAAAATCATCAATATGAAAAGATATAACCTATTTTATTATTGTCTATAGGTTTGGTTAATATATCGTATTATAATATTAGTATAAATATAAGTTTAACTTAAAAATGTATTTATACGACAAGAATGAAACGTTTAATAAATCCTCCTGAAAAACGACAGATTTAGACTTATGCCCTTTTTCCCCTACACTAGAGAAATATGAGTGAATTAATTGGGGGCAGTAAGCCCCCAGACCCTGATCCCGACCCCGGCCCTTATGATAAAGATGAAAATCAGGTTAATATGATGGAATTTACAAATATGGAAACAATTTCACAAAAACAAGAGAACCAGAATGTAAGTACTAATTTAATGTCTAATTCTTTGGGAAAAAACGAAAATGTTTCTAACGTTAATGAGAAGGTAAATAATAGACAGGTTTATTTATATACAAATAAAGATACCGGACCTTATCATGTTTACGTAGAAAATTGCTCAAAAACATTCACAGGTAAGTTACAAGCTTTAAGAGTTGCTGATATTATTCTTTCCGCGTTTCCGGAATTGGACGCAAAAATTACAAATATTGATTC